AATTTTGTGTCCAATTTTACATTTTTTTGCCACAATTGTTAAGCAAATCACTGCAGCTGTTAAGTGGATCACAATCATTTAGAAAACCTCGCTTCCCCCATTGACTTTAATTGTTGGAAGCTGGCTGCACATAGTGATCACATGACCCCATCATAAAAACTTGCCAGTTGCCAAGCTCTCAAATTTTGATCACGTGACTATGGGGCTGCTACAATGGTCATAAAATGTTTCATTACCAATACTTTTTAATAAGAAAAGTTAATAGGTTTAAGGAAAGACAAAGCTTTGTCTATAATGTCTATAATAGACATCAGTGGTTGAAAATCTTAGTTTTGGGAGACAATGAACAAAATTTTTTATTGCTGTTTGTTATACATCAGCATCCGATGCTTCCAAATTCATAGTATTGTCTCTTGCAAGAATGCTGAACATTATTTTTCTAATGTCTATTACTACCATGGATTCAGGTATATAGAGTTAAAAATCATACTTTGCATCGTGGCTTACACTAAATAAAATTTTTTAAAAAGTTCTGAAAGTGAGAAAGATTTCCCCCTTCAATAATAGGAACAAAAAAAGGAGATAAATTTTCAAAATTATTCCTTATTATTAAAGTGGGCTTCCAGGGAAGAAATATTAAACTGACAACTGTAGCAGAATGAACAGCCAGTAAGTAGACTGGGTCTTTGCAATCTCTCTCTGGATAAGGAGAGGATCTGAGATTGCACACAAGTGCTCCATTCAATGCTCCTCATGAGAAGACCATGAGATGGTCTATTGTGAGTTTAGAGCCTCGGAAGAAGTAGGAATAGCTAGCTTGCTCAATCCATGGTTGGCATCTTTAAGGATACTAGATTCAAATGTTTCTTTTTCTAATCAACTTTCAGAAATTGGTTGTTAGCTGTTTTTCAGCGGTTAGAAACCTTTGGATTGACAAATTTTACTGGGTACCCTAATCATTAGCAAAAGAAGTTTTAAACAGAAATTTATTTATTTATTTTAAATACATAGGTAGGCCTCAACTTATGACTTTGTTTAGTGACTGAAGTTTCAACAGTACTGCAAAGTGACTTTTGACTAGTCCTCAACTTAGAACTGTCACAGCCTCTCAGCAATCATGTGATCATGATTTGGGTGCTTGGCAATTATACATATATGGTGATTGTAGCATCATTACAAAGATTCCAGATAAATTTGAAATAGGATTTTGAAATTATAGTATGCTTGTGGGAAAATATTTTTGTTTTGCATTCTAACAACAAAAAAAAAAACCATGATAGGATGGGACTTTGAAAATTGGACACCACAGGGAACTAGAAGGAACTAAAGATTACAATGAAAGCATTGATGAAACAAGATTTAAATTTGATTAGTATAGAAGGAAGCAAAATATTTTAATGTTCAGCATACTGAAGAATATTTTTGAGCATGGATCCAGAATTTAATTTTAGGAGTGTGTTTCTATAGACAGGCCACGTTTAAAAAAGTGTTCTGGAGTAACAAGTTTTACCAGGCAAGATTAAATCTGATCTGAAAGTGGATTTAAGACTACAAGAATGACATTGAAAAAGATGTTATACTGGATATATAAAAGAAAATAGATACATAAATAGCAAACTAAGAAGGTGACCTGGATATTCTTCCTACATTGAATTTACAAAAGAGGTTTGTTAAACCTTTGAAGAATTTTAGGAGAAGGGACAAAGTTTAGTTTGCCTTAGTTTTTTTTATTGTTGTAGTAGTGTTTAATAAAATTACTATTAAAAAATAAAAAGTGAAACCGTATAATTGTTATTGCAACTCCCATTTGGAATTGAAGGCATCTATAGCTAGCTGTGCAAAACCCTCATCTGTCCAACAGGCTCTTGACCTGTCTTTCAGAAAAATATCCCCATTTTAGGCCATTATATCATCTACTTTCCCCTTTATACAGCTGTCAGGTACACAAAGGGCCTATTTATCGGTGATCCTTGAAAAGCAGCATCTTCAAAGGCAGATGGGCCCATATCATATATAAAATAAAGACTCTTATTGACAAAAAGCCCTCCCTACATACAGAGGCAGGCTACTGAATTAGGGGTTCCCAGCAGGAGTTGCCTAATGAGATCAGCATCCTGAAATTCATGAATGACTTTCATCTTCAGGAGTGAATGAAGACAAGGGGCAACTCATTTGTGGGAGATGAAAGGAAAATAATTCCTCTGAACTGTACATCTGCCTATTTGGCATATTTCCTTTGAAAATTGTTTTAAAAATAAATAAATAAAGCGGAAGCTGTGTAACAGAAGGTAGGATGAAAACATGACTGAGGAAACATCTTATTAAAGAAGGTGATGCAACAGGATGTTGATTGCTAGGTACTGAATGGAACATATCTATATTTGCCACAAACTCGGAGCTATTTCATACACTCCAGATTTATGAAATTCTGAAATCCAGAAGACTCCTACACCAACATCAAAATTGACCCAGCTACAGTAGCTCAGGAAGTGAGAACAATGGGCAATGACATAGATTCAGTCAAGTCTCAGTTCTCTCTCAGGTAGCCATCTTCCTGAGCATCCGTTTAGAACTAAGAGATAGCAATTGACTAAAAGTTGTACAGCTAGGCCATGGTTATTTTGAGTTCAAATAATGCAATATTTGATTTAGTGGGAATTATGAATTGATACCAAGTAGCATCTAATGCAACACAAAATTTAGTTAACAAACCTAGCACATGCACGATTACAATTGGAGTTTTAGATGCTGTTAATCTTTGCCTATGTGAAACAGAGAAAAGGAAGATTCCATAAGAGAAAAACAATACAGGTGGTCCTCATTTATCAACTACCTTGTTTAGCAACCATGAAAAAATAACTTTACACTCATTTATGACCTGTGCAGCATTGAACATATAATTGCCATTACAGTCAATGTGTTGTCCTATATCTGACCTGTTGTTTCTCTCCCCTGCTACCTTGCAAAGCAGAGAGATTAGAGAGGAAGGGATTACAAGAGAGTAAATAGGCACAAACTGGTGAATACACAACAAAAGCAATGCACTAGTGCTGGCAGCTGCCAAGTGCATTATGCAAATAGCCTTTTATTCAGGTTAGCAAAAATTCTGTTGACACAAGTCTGCCACCAATCCATGTGGCCCTCAACCTTCAAAGAAAGCTATTTTTTAAAACAGAATATTCCACCAAGCCGAAGGTAAGCTGTCTGTGTCTGATGAAAAATTGCATCCTAAAATACTCGGAAGGCTCAGAATATAAAACAAATATGGATAATCAGCCTAATTTTTTAAAAAAATCTTTTAGGATCATGCACTAGGCAAGATAGAATTCTATTGAACTTCAAACTTGACATTTAATCTTGTAATACCCACAATTATGGTTTCAGCCAGCAGATTTACTACATCCAAGCTGCTGCAGATAATTCAGTTTCTAGTGAAACCTGTTTAGTCACCTACCAGTAAATTGTTCACTAACAGGAAGAGTCTTCCAAGTAGCATGAAAAGAACCGGAATGTGAGACCTTAGTTTGATGTTGGATAATACTGAAAATCTGCCAAAGTAGTTTACAGAACAATAAAAAAAAACCTCCTCTCTGGTTTACAATCTATTCTGGCAAAAAGAGAAAGGCTACAGTTCTTAAAGCAGACTTCTTATAAAAAGCTACTGGTTTGGAAAGGGTTCTGAGAGAACACTAAAAGAAACAAGAGCAAGCAGAATTGATGGCACTGATGTGCTTCTGTTCTCTCTCCTACAGGCTGATAGTATGTTACACACATACACAGTTACACACCCTTTGCTGACAAATGAGGCCAGAGGACACAGGGCATTCAAGTCGTAGACTCAAGTGCATTCATTGATTTCAAGTTTAAATTCCAAAGTCTTTGATTATTCAACAATAATAACATTCCTTTCAGAAATTGAAGCAATGTGTGTGACTTTATGTACTACTGATATGAAGTCAGAGTATATTAATCATGCACTCTATGCAACCCAATCCAACAAAGCTAAGTGCTGTTCATTGAAAATAAGTGTCATCATAAATGGATCCACTCATGTTATTAGGAATTGTCACTGCCACCTCCCCAGATGGCAAAGATTTAAGGACTCTTCTGGTGGCACTCTCTGCAAGATGTTTAATTCAAAACATATTGTAGAAACTGTTAAGGAGGATGACTGTCTATGGTGACCTTAATACTTCCAAGAAAAGTTACCTTGTAGTAAGACGGGCGGCATATAAACTTTATAAATACTATTACTCTGGACTTTACCTTCTTCTAGAGATATATGATAGTGTTTTCAAGACAGTTGTGAATTAAAACTCATTTTGCCTATTTCACCCATTTTTTATGAATTTATCTTCCCGAATCCACAATTTTAGTTTTGTCTTAGTGGTGCTTGTGTGTCCTCTCTTAAGCACTTTAAAAGTAGCTGTGATCAAAGCAACTTAGAAGATAGAAGGAGAAAAAATGTGGCTGAGAATAGGGAGTTTACTATAAAGATATAGAGATTATTTCTAATTCGGAGAGCTTTTTTAACAACTTGGAAAAGACAAATTTAGTAAGTATTTGAGACCAGATGAAGAGACAGGAGAGTGAAATTGTGTCATGCAAGCTGGGGCAAAATGATGTAATTCTTTCAGCACAGTCTGTGTTGAATTGGCCAGAGGATCTTAAAGAGGCCCTGCAAGAGCCCCAGTCTTTTTACAGCCCCAGCTAGCGTCCTGTGAGCCTGGCCAAAGTCATGCCCTTTAGATAGAACCAGGAGCAGCAACAGAAGGCTGAGGTAGTGTTGATGAATGACATAGTAAGTCCATGTGGTTAAATCCTGTGCAGCCCCCGTTTTGTTAACTTGTCTCAAGCAATACCTAAAACATTTGCTTAAAATACACATTTAGTTCTTCACAAACCTTATCAGATGATGAGGATGTACACTCCCATTAGAAATGGAGTTAATAATTATGTCAGAAGTTATCTCTTATCAAAAAATTTCTTTCAGAGAATAATAAGGTCATGTTATTAAAATCTTTATTCACATAATACTTATCTATGCATAGCCTGATCCTTGGGAAACGCAAAACTGAGATTCATTTTCCCTTTTCCCAACAGCTTCTACTCGTATCCACTCCAAAAGGCAAGTCTCTGGCAGCTTCAAGGTGAACATTTTGTTTCAGCTGCCATATGAATAAGTTACTTCTTAATAAATTATTTATTTTCTTTTTTAGCAACAGTTCCAGTTCTTCAGATGCAAGATAGCCTACTGTCTGTTCGAGCACAGGATGTCTCTTCCACTTTCTTTATTCTTAAAATAGCATATAAAGGAAACATGAAGTTATTTGGAAAGTCTCAATCAACCAGCAAGATGTTTTCCTCCCCAACAGTATCTTCCAGGTGTAGATTCATTGTGATTGTACACTTACTATGCACCTACAAAAAAAACCTTTTAGCCAGACATAATTGGGGGGTATTTGATAGAAAGTCTGAAGCTGGTGACCCTCATAATAGCAACTATTAACCATTATCAAGTTACCGTTCCTGTAATTTGAGACATTTAGCTGAACCAGTCTGATAAAAATCAACTTATTTTGAAAGTTCTTTTTGTTAAAGTAGGCATAATACACGGGTGTAAAACTTGATCACGTCACATAACGTATTGCAATGTTTTTTGCCTTTGCAGAGCCGGGTTGGGCATGCCCTGCGTGTGATGCATCCGGCTCACAGGCTGCCAGTTTGACACCCGTAGTATAACATTATCAATAGGATTTGGCATTAAGCCAACTGATAGTTTAGGCAACCATCTTAAGACAATTACTGGCATAGGCTGAAAACATGAGCCTTAAAAATGCTGCAGTGTAAGGGAAATTATTGAAATAGATGCAAACATGATAACATTACTTTTTGTACCTATGGGCATTAGGGTCTATTTTCAAAAGAGGAAGCATGTCCAAACTGATTTTAAAAACAATTAGAAGTAATTGATAAACATTTGGACCCTGTCTTTAAATTCCTCTTAACTGACATCCAGGATATAGCTGTCAGAAACATTATCTATCATAGAAAATCTCTGAGGTTTCCAATACAAGTTTGGTGAATAATAGTTCAGGGCATTAAACATTGGAGTTAATGTACAAAATTGTTTTCCACACATTTCCCTCCAATATCTTTGGCAGGACTATCAGGTGCATGAATCAAAACCAAGATACATAAATTTCCTGAAGCTAGAAACATAAATTACAATTCCTGCTAATGGTCACAAAACTATGGAATCACAACTTGGATCAAAAAACAAAAACAAAAGATATGCATCTAAAAATATCTTTAGTTCAGCTCAGACCTTGAAAATGACAGACAATCCTGAATGCCTGACAGCGTAGCACCTGCAACTGCCTTACAGTAGTGGATAAAACATTGTTTTTCCTTCCACAGGCACTCATCATGTCTTCTTAGATTTTCAATTTAGATCAGAAGTTTAGCAACAAATCCCATTTGTTTGTTTATTTAAATCTACAGCACTGACAGGACATAAAGTACTGGCTCAAGCTCCACTTTGTAGGAGAAATATTGGGTTCAAGGCAGCAAGAACCCTCACATTTGAGAACACAATGATTTGCACAAAAATCTCTGGTTAGGACTTTGCAGCATTGTGCAGGCCTGAGTAATTTCAGCCTTGTAGATGAACAACAGGTTTCAACAGTAATCTAGAACAGTCCTTTTCCTTCAGCAGTTTTGGATTTAACAGAACACCGAACACAATTATACATTCCCTTGTGAAGTCCTTTAGAAAATTTTAGCAACAGATGCATGGATGTATATCTATCAGGAGAGGCAGTAAATCTCTTCAGTATCACATTTGCCCTTTACCCCCTCCATCACTTTTCTTTTTTCTTTTTAAATGGCCAGTATGGATGCCTAGATAGCGTATTCTTTAAAACCCTGAATTAGACTAAAATATTAAGATTGTACTTGGAATCGGTTAGAAGAATAAGATCTTTTCTGGAACAAGCATGTACAGTATTAAGTGTCCCAATACCCATATCTCTTCACAGGAAATCCCAAGAGAGCTCTCAGTGCAACATCCACTGCCAGCAATGGAATCCAAGAAGAAAAACAAAAAGATATAGGGCTACCCAAGGGGAACTTTCTTGTCTTCAACAGCGCTTTCAAACTACAATTGTTTCTCTTCTGATGCAGAAATTCTGTTATTTAATTCCAGTTTATCCTGCCCATAGCCATGCAGAACCAGTTGTGCTGTTTTCTATTTATTACTTTTAAAAAATAATCCCCATCAGTTTCTCTTAAAGCTACAAATGGGAAAGTGTCATTCTATCTTCCACCAATACAATGTCTGGCCCAAATTGATCTGTACATTGCTTTATTGTAGCCAAGATGTTCAGAAGTCGTAGGTCCAGGGCATCCATATGGGAGGCAGACAGCACAGGTGCAATAGGGTCATGAGACATAGCAGTTTTTAAGGCAGACTTCAGGACTCCGTTCTTTATATAGTTCAACCTGTTCCATGTGGAGACTCTGATACTGCAAAAGAAAAACATGGGAGTGTAACAAGCCTGGGTTTATATTGGAAATCCAAACCTTCAGAAGTCTTCCCAAAGTATTTTCAATACTTTAAGCTTTTTAAATAACGGAATGTTATTTCTTAATCATATAAACATTACTACACTAAAATCTACATTGAAATAAACACAGAATATCATAATTTACAAAATTACAATGAAAAAAAGTCTTCCCAAAAGAAGCTTGTCACAAGATTTACTTATTCAGAGCTGTGAACTACTGTGATATTGCAGAAACAGTTTTTAAATTAAAATTTATAAGCCTATATTTAATCAAAAGTAACATCCTCACATTACTCTCAGGGAAGTGCGAATAGATGATAAAGTGCTAAGTTGCATACAAATTCAATTAGCTGCCCTGGATATGAACTGTAAGTCTAATATTTGGTAAAGCTGTTGCAAAATTATGAATATAAAGAATGATACTATGGATATTTAGATGTGTGACACAATTAACAGAAGTTTTATTTTTTCCAACAAAGGAAACCTCATCCTCAGTTCATGACCTGCAAGATCTTGTTCTTGTATTCATGAAATAATTTTCCTTTACATGGACCCCAGAACTTAAGTGATTGTTACATGCATTATGTGAAAGGCAGTTTGCCAGCAAAATCCTGATTCCTAAAAATGTTGACACTTCCTCAAGAAAAAAGCTGCAAAGGTCAGAGGGAATGTCTTTCTCCAGCATTAATTTTTAATGCTAGCCTTCTTTCTTTAAACAGGTAGCTGTTCCAAAAGTTTAGAGAATGATACATTAAAACATAGGCTCTCATTTAGATTCTAAAAACACATAATTGTATATTTAACATTCTAAAATATTTTCTCAAATTCTGAAGTTGCCTTGGACTTACCATCAAACATAAGAACTCAAAAGTACATTAAATAACATCAATATTGCTTTTAAGATAATATTCAAATAAGTCAATAACTTTTTATTCTTTACTCACATGCAACACTGATAAAGAGGTGCAAGGATGCTTCTCTCATCCAGGGAAGGATTTCCAAAACTGAAAACCAGATAACAAAATGAAAAAAAAAAATTCCCTCTGGAAAAGTCTGTATAACATCTATCAGTAAAATGAGAGATGGCAACCTTATCAAAGGTTGTTGAGTGAAACAATTTTTTATGTTTTTAATGTAAAAAAAGTTTAATAAAGTGTTTTTAAAAAAGTGCCAGAAATGTAAGAAAATTAGCAGTGTGCATCCATAAACACCAAGACAGAAGACATGGGGAAAACTGCTTAATCTCACAATACATGAACAAAGTTTCAACTGGGAAATTGTGAGCTTCCTAGATCAATCTGAAGCTAAAAACATTAGGGAATTCCTGGAAGATTGCATTCAAATAAATCAAAAGAAATAAGCCATATTTACACACCATTTGAGAGAGAATAAAAAAGCTAAGAATAAAAAGCCTAGAAGACATTATTTTCAAGTGACAACACCCAGATAAGCAAGACTTAATACCAAGCAAACAATCAAGCAGAAAATAATACTCTAATTAAGAAATTACCAATGAGAAAATCAAAACTGGCGAAGCAAGCTACAGCATATAAACCAGGAGCAATCCCCAAACTTACTCACTCTGGTGCTATTACCTAATTGTGTAATGACTCTCCCTTTAAAATTTTTAAATCGTTTTAATCTGTTTTATAAATTGGGTGTTTTAAATTTGTTTTCGGCCAAAATATTTAATAATTTTAATGGACTTTTAATGTTTATTTTATCTGTATTTTATCTTGGCTGTTCACCGCCCTGAGTCCTCCGGGAGTAGGGCGGTACAGAAATTTGATAAATAAATAAATAAAATAAATAAATATGTCTGCAAGCCAACAACCAAGCTCAGAGAGCACCAAGGACTCCCAAGTCATTCTCATAAATAAGAATTTGAAATGTATAAGGAATTCCTGATATTTCAGTTAGCTTTCAAACTAGGTCAAACCTTTGGACAACCTTAACACTGCGGTAAGTATGATAAACCAATTGTAATCTGGCGGCAATTATTTTACTGAAGGAATTTGCATATCAGATAACACTATTCCTACCTTTTGGCATTGTCAAGTAGAATAAGCATACTGGCCCCTTCATCATCCTGAAAACTTTCATAATGGTGTCGGTCAGCATTCCCAATCAGATAATCAAAGATGGCTGTATCAATGATGTCAAGAAGCCGTGGGCCTGAATCATAGGGTGAGGTCTTCTTTACAGCATCACAGTAACTCTCATCATATTCCCATCTGAAAGCAGACACAGAAACTCAACCAAGCACTGTTGATCTTTAAGATTTATAGTACAATTATGTAACTTCAAAGGGTTGAAAGAGACTATTGCATAATAGGGAAAAAAAAGAACTGCTGTTAAATTTAAAATAAAATCTCAAAATCTGTTTGATAAAAGACCATAGCAAAAAGATGGCAAAATTGCCTCTTCTACTTCATTTTCTCTTTTAACATAAAGGTTTCCTCATTTATTTTCAGCTTTTAATTCATAAATGTTGATTGGCAACATGGATATTCAGGAAAACAATGCGAACTAAGAAAGGATGATCAAATTGGAAGACTGATTTTTGATATAAACAGACTTGAACTGATTGAAACCAATACATAGATTGGAATTTCATTAACTGCTGCATGTCATACTTCAACTCATGGACTAATGCATAATGAAACTGACCCAAACTTGAAACAAACTGTTTCATCCTTTCCTAACACAGAATAGTGTGGGCGCTATTATAACGGTAGCTAACTCTTATCGGCAGAAAGTAGAACTACTGCTGTTGAAAACTCTTTGAAAATGGATTTAGGGATTTTCAAGAAGATAAAACACATCTCAAAATCCAGGCCCTGTGCTACCATGCCAGCCCAATAAACCTAAAAAATGATTTTGCTTTAGAAAACGCAAAGGTTAACGAAAGAAAAGACAAAAAAGGGACCTTCATTTCTCATTCATCTTTGAAATCTTTTGCCTCCTAGTTTCTCAGTGTGACTTCGTTCTTCTGCATAAAGGTACTGAGTTTTAACGATTAGTTAGGTACAACATATATCAGCAATTTAAAGCTGATACCTCCTTTTGCCTCTATAATTTTAGTCCATTCTCTGGATTGACCAACTGAAATGGCAAGGACATAACTGCTGTGAACTTCATACCTGGCTAACTTGCCCTCCCGGTATGTCCTGCCCCATGGATGTCGATGTTTCTGAAGAGGCCATACATCTGGGAGCCAAAGAGTGAGTGATCCTTCCATGGAATCTCCTTCAGCACAAGCTGGTTCCGTTTCCCGGCAGTAGTAGCACTTCCCATAGAAACAAGTATTATTACCTGGAAAGCAAACATTAGAACAAAGCATCTTAGACCTAATTTAAATCCTGATAATAATTATTTTAACACTTCTAATCTGTAAGAACTTGGACTAGTTAAGAAGCTTTCTGGGAAAGAAACCAGTTCTAAAAGGGTTGATTGGATGATCTTCATCATCTGTTGCTGTTGGAGCTGACCTCTCTGGAAGTAATGCTTAATTTATGAGGGTTGTTTATTTCTAAACAGAGTTGGATTGTATAGTAATTTTATCTTGCACAGTCCCCACCTCCCAGTTCTTTCATTAGTTTGGAAAGAGGCTTCAAATAAACAAGGAAACACCTTTCTATGTTCATAACTAAAAATCTGGCCAAATGCAATAGGAGATATCTAACTGAGATATGCATATTTCAGAGAAATTATCTGCTGTTGCATTTGGCCAGATTCCAAAGAATGGCATATCTTCATATTCAAAAAGAACCATCTCAAAATTTAAACAGTCTTCTCTTACTGTTAAAATAATTGAGTAAAGGTTAATTGCAAGTAGTCTTCAACTTGCAACAAAAGGGACTGGAAAATTTGCCATTAACTGAGGCATCATGTGACTGCACATTATTTTACAACCATTTTTGCTATAGTCATTAAATAAATCACAATGGTCATTACGCAAGACATGACCACAACTTGCGGCTTCCCCTGCAAGTTTCCCCATGAACTTTGCTTGTTGGAAGCCGGTTGGGAAGGTTGCAAATAGAAATCACTTGACCCCAGTATGCTGCAAACATCAAAAATGTGAGCCAGTTTCCATGTACCTGACTCATTAAGCGAGGCATCATGTGACTGTGAGTACCCTACAAGGGTCATAAATGCAAGGGCCATTGCACTTGGTCATAGGTCACTTTTCTCAATTGCTAAACAAATGGACATGTCAAGGACTGCTTGTACAATATACTCTGATACAAATATCAGAGAAAGTATTAACATGTCAAATACAGGACCTCAATGGAAGTTTTAGTCAGGAATCAAAGTAATCTGTGTGTGTCCTGATTTACTTCTGATTTTCCACATTTGAGATGAGAAGTGTATTACCACATTGTGCTTACCAGGACTAAGAGGCATGTGGTGTTCTGTCAAGACTGATGTTAGTCTCAAATTAAAATTTACAATCTAAATGTGTGAATTCTATATCATTACTAGCTCTAATATTGGTACAGACCTTTATTATTATTAATACGGAAAAAAGGAGATAATTTGTATATATGACAGAGGGGGCTGTTAAGTTAAAAGTATGATCTCAAGCGAGCATTCTTCAAATTGTATTTTCCCAAGGATCCAGGAATGTTATTAGAGACTGGGCCTGCAGAATTTGTTTTTTTTTAACCTACCTAAAGTCATGAAAGTACTAAGCAACTGTTCTGTGGCAACAGGCTTGATTTCTGTGCGGAGGTTCACGAACCTACCAACCACGAGCGGAGCCCGCCGGAAGCCTAAGATTCTGTTTCAACGAGAAAGAATAAAATGAAACAAGATATGAACTCATATAATATAATAGAGAGTATAGGCTGGACCTGGCTATGAAGTCTGTAGGAATCATCCAGTAAGTATCCTCAAAGGCTTAAGGTTCCTGAGATGTTAAAAAAGTAATTTTAAATATAACTTCTTAGTTAGTAATATCTTATGTTTTGTTTTATTTTGAACTACAACTGATAATTTTTATTCCTCTTTTGAATTCTATAAATTTATTGAATTAGAAATTGAGGTTAATACAAACTTTTTGCTTCTTTGATCTTATTCATGTGCCAGACTTCTGGGTATACTTGGCTCATAAAAAAGGATCTGCCAGAAGTGCAACCTTTTAGGCTTGGATTGTGTTTAGGCTGTTTATTAATTGCTGTAAATCATCAAAGTGGTGGCAGCTCACTTGCTTCTGAAATATATGGAAAATGTCTCACAGCAACATAGAAGGACCAATAATTCTTGAATTGAAGCACCAGAGATTTTCACAAGATTGACCAGAATAAAAGTTGGACTTAATTTAGGTTTAAATTTAAATTCATTGGGGAAGAATGTGTCAGACTGCTACTCTGTACTCGTTACTGAAAACATGTACTGAAAGACCTGAACAGATTGCCAATTTTTGTGGAGCACAAATTAAGAATTTATCCATTAACTATTAAGGGATTATCTTGAAATAAATCTGCTGAACATCGTCCCCCTAAAGATGCTCTCACTATTTGAGTTGGCCCTGAACACAAAGGATACGGCTTTCTCCCATGGAATTCACTCTCTTGAAATTCTACCCCCTATTCCAGCAGAAGAAACACCTTTTTCTTTTTAACTAGCCCTTTTAAAGTTTAAATTGGTTTATGATTTACATTAACTGATTTTATAAAAGTTTAATTCTTTATGTTTTGTCTGTTATTGTTAGTGTATCATCCTAGCACAGGGACCATGCTAATCTTCCCTTTGCCAATTTGGCTATGTGCTACCAAAGTGAGCACATTTTATTTTGTTAGCCACTTTAAATGCCCTTTGGATAGAAAGGTGAGGTGTAAATTGAATGAATAAACTAAGTATATTGTATCAAAGTATCAAAATTTTACCTGTCTAGATGGAAGGCTGCCACCTCTGCATTATGTCTGTCATAGCCAGCATATGGCTCTCCTTCTATTACATAGTCTCTGGGATATCTAAAAAGTATAAAAAGGTAAGTGATTATTTGACTAATGGATTTGATTTCAGATTAAAGAAGAATCTCCAGTAAACAACCACTCTTCTTCATCCCAAGGTAGTAATGAGAAAAAAAGTAATTCTAAAGAACTTTTCTCAGTGCCAAGTCTTCTAGCAATTAGATGTACCGGTACTGCCACATATAAAAGGAAATACCTCACAAACACTTCCATCCCAGAGGCACAGGCTTGTTTCTTACTTAGAAGGAATGGTATGGGCCTTCAGCAAATATCTATTCATTATCCTGATCTTAACTGCATATTCCTTCTATTAGGGAATGATGATTAGGCACTCCTGTTTGGGAAAACCTAATGCAAATTACGTGCTAAGGCATGTAATTTGTTACTGCATTGTGTGAATCTGCAATTCTTGTTTTACGTTCTACACGATGTAAAGTATGAATGCAAACTTTATGACTTATGCACAAGCTACAACCTTGTTCAAATTCAGCCATTAAGCTGTTATCAGCCATTAAGTAGATAACAAAAAGAGTATAGATGATATTATCTGTGTCTGAAAAAGCATTTTACCTCTTAGGTTTGAAGACTACTTTCTGTCCACCTTCTAGCACAAGTAGTGCTTTCAACTGGGTGCCCTTATAGCCCACATCTGCTTTGATGATCTTCTTGGTAGCCATAGCATGCATCACTGCCCCCAGTTCTGGTGTTTCCTCTGGGTACACTTCACGTGGCACCACCCACTGGGCTGCAATCTCCCAAGGAGACTGCAGTGTGTGATCAAGTCGTGGGTCTAATTCAATCCGTAGACTCGTCATCATGCGATGGAAGGCGCGCTGGTCCTCACGGTTGGCTGCTGATGTGTCCAAGTTGTCTATGAGGAAAACCTTTGTGAAAATAAAGATGACGAGTAGAATTGCCAGAAGTACTACACGTTGCTTCAACTTCATGATGATTAGTAGTCCTTTTCTGGTGGCTTATCAAAGGCTACAGGGAATCTCTCACAAAACAAGATGATAAGCAGCACAGTTCCTGATTAATTTTATTCATTATCTTCAATCCAAATGATCCACTGTTGCAACTACATCTTCTGGTACTCCTGTAATTAAAGCCACAATTGAATTTTGAATTCAGCAGGTATCTCTTGAACAGAAGTCGCTGATTTATAGTGTTACAATTTACTTAAAAACAATATATTTCAATGGGATTACCCATAACAGCCTAGTTCTAAGACAGATACTTTTCAAATCAGGACTTATAGAAAAATAGCTCCCACCTCAAACAGATTTTCAGAAAATGAATAGAACTGATTGGCTTTAACCCAACTTTTATAAAGATACCATTTCTTTCCCCTTTTCTTGAACATAGGAAGGCTATTATTTTGTTTCCAATTTAGGCAGAGAGCTGTATAAAACATATTTAAAATACCAGTCTTGTGCCATACCATGATGTGGAGCAAGCACCTTAGTTTGGAGATATTCATGGCAGTATAAAACACTTGAATTAACTGCTACATTAAGATACATAGGAATGTACCTTTTGAAGGTTCAAACGCCACCGCATGAGTTTTTCATGCTCCAAGGTTAGCATTGTCAGGCTATAGTTCTAATTACAAATAGAACTTTTTTCTATAGAAACAAACCATGGTTACTCAAACCAAGATTTAATGCAATGTGTGAACTCAATGAAAATCTTTTTAAAGAAGTGTGATAATTATATACCAGATAGTTTGTGCAAGAGTAATGTTTGTTTCTATTATCTGGAATTGCTCCATTCACATTTTTTTGTGTTCTCCATTTCAACATTTTCAAATCTGTTTTGATTCATAGTAAATGAAGTTATACATATTCTCATTTTTCTATCATCTCTATATCCTCCACTCTCCCAACTGTCATTACAATTTTAAATTGTATGTCCCATATAGCATCTTTTATTTATTGAATTCCATTTATAATCTGTACCTTCTCTAATAAGCTCAGAGCAGTTTTTAATGGCTCTCAGCAATTTTCAGGAATAGACCTGATCAGGTATTCTGTAAAATACCATGTACATTAAAAACACTGCATTTATAATAATTAGATTTTATATAGAGCAATCGTCAAAGGCAAACGGTAAAAAACACTCCCTTCAGCAACAGCAAAGAACAGCAACAGGAGATTATTGAAATCACCTTTAAACCTGCAAAACAGTCATAGGCTATTTATTTTAATGGAGTAATATACTATTCTCCATGAGCTCCTGAGAATATTTTACAATGCATTTCTTCTAGAATTCTAATTTAACAGTATTTCTCCTACTAGAATCTCATCACAGTAAAATATGTTTAATTCTGCACACCTTATTAGATATTTTTTCACTTGCTAGAATCATAACGCAAGAGATGTGCATTCTACAGCTAAAGGAGCAGTGTAACTAGTTCTTTACCAGACTGGAGAAAAAAACTGTGCTAATACGGTACAAACTCCAAAGTTTGAAAAAGAAGCAATTCCTTCTTCCAATATTTTATAATATTGAACAAAAACTGTATCCTAAATTAATAGAATATAATGCACAATTTTAAAAAATGCATAGCACTGGCCTCAGTTTGCAAGATTATTTAATTTCCTGACAATTTACTAGGAGGTAAATGCTGACAGGTTCTAATAACAGTAAGTTTGAAATCTAGATGTAAATTCCAAAAACAAAATCCCTTCCAATCCCAAGTAAACTTTCAGTTTATAAGAATGCTCTGAAAATTACAAGCAAAATTGTCTGCTGTTTTAGTAATAGGTAGACTAACACAGTAGAACTAATGTAATTAAAATGCTCTTGGGAAGAAGAGAAATGAGAAAAAAAACCTTTGAAACATGCTGTGTCTGACAGACTGTGAAGACCACAGAAGTGGAAAATGACAGACAGATGGTATCTATCTTACGCGCTTGCTACATGCTCTCTCGGATGTTAATGGTTTAAGACATGCATTTATTCTCACATTGTTGTATTCATCTTAAACTACAGCAACACAATAATGTATTTTAAATTCAGTTTTCCCAAGACATTAAGAACTAGTGCTGAATCTCTTAACACTGATTATCAATTAAACCATCAACCATAATAACTGTTGTATTCGCCAATGTCACTATTATGAATAAAGCAGGAATGGGTGTAGGGGTGTGTATGTACATATATATGTGTGTGTGTGCATGGATATGTACCGTGTTTCCCCGAAAATAAGACCGGGTCTTATTTCTTTTGACTCCTGAAAAAATGGCTAGGACTTCTTTTCGGGTGGGTCTAATTACTGACTCAACTCAAGGCGGCAGCACCAACAGCCCCGCCCAGCTAGAGCCCACTGCCGGCCCACTTCTTCTGTGGCCATTTGCACGCGTTGTCCCCAGCCTCCTTTTCACCATCAAAGCCTTCTGGAAAGTCCTCTGCAGCTGAGAAACAGGCTCCGGATTGATGCGCGTGGCACCCCCGGCTTCCGTTTCACCTTCAGATGCCTTCCGGAAAGCCCTCTGAAGCCAATAACAGAGCTCCGGATTGAGGCCGGGGGGCAACGTGTGAGCGGCAGCAAGCAGCCACAGAAGGAGAGGCAGGTGTCAGGGTTTGCGAGGTCTGGTAATGTTCTGACCAAGGCTTCCCCAGCAGCATGAAGCCTAGTCCTCCTCCTGATAGACCCCTTTTATTTAATTTATAGTGAATTCCTCTCCAGCAATGTCTTTCCTCTCCCACAGTCTTTCAAGATAGTTCACAATTACCGACCTTTATCAGACTTGGAGAGTGGCCAGGCCAATATCTTTCAGACGACACAATACTTGGCAAGAATACAGGAATGAACTAATTGTCTCCTGCAAACACCCCTCCCCTTTTGCTCCTCTTTTATTCCCTATGGGAGGGGCCCTTCATCATCCACCTTGGCCTTACTCCTAAGTCAACCGTTGTTCCTTAGCTGTTCCCTTCGTCTGGCAAATCTGCGCATGCGCACACTGGGAACAGGCTCCAGCTGTTTGTCTGCCTCACTGATGTCTGACACCAAAGGCAGCTGATACCTGTCATACGGCCCTGGCCCCAATCTTATTTTAGGGGAAACATGGCACTATACAGTGAAAAACTGTAAGAGATTTATTTTCTATTAAGCCAGTAGTATGGTATGCATGATATTTGATTATTTAGGATTGCTTTGAATGGTTGAGAAAGAAATATGGGCATTTGTATAACATATAGTGATCAGGAACAAAAAAGCATTGTATGAAGCTGAACTTATGAGAGATTTAGGAAACCCACAAACACAATTTTACACAAATTTACACAAATGTAAATTCCAAAGTTGTAATGAAGGGAATGTCATTCTAGGAGGTGTTCTAGAAAATTTGAATGATGAAATCATTCATGAAAATGACTGTAATTAGAATTAGTATATTTGTTCCCCAAAAACAAGTTACTTTTCACATCTCAATATTTTAGAATGATTACCTACAGACAAGCATATCATTTTAAAACTGTCCAATCTGCCTGAAAAGGAAAACAAATACCTCCAAAAAGATTCCAGCCTATGGCTCTGTTTTCTTGAGGTAAAAAAGGTTCTTTTCTTTTTTGATCAGCAATACAGACTATATGGCCTTGATTTCACTGATTAGTGTACAAATTATGCAGGCATTTTTTTCTTTACATACCCATATAAACTCTTCTTTTCTTCAAACTTTTCTTAACCTAACTAATAACAATTCCCCTTTGAAAAGAAACACTGATGTGACTTACCATTCTTTATAGTGCCTCAGCATTTGTATTAACTCACTTCTCTGCCATATGCACTCAAAGCAACTTATTTCTGTACTTCCATAATGATGACATAAAATAACTGCCCACTTGCTAAAAGAACCATACACCTGTATATAAAACTTCTAAAAAAAACCTGTTACTGTAAACATGATATTGATCAGTTGATGTCTGAATGGACCCTGCTGAAAAATATCAGGACTGTAACCAATTATTGTTGCAATCATTTAATGCTGCAGATATCAAGGGATAAAGAGGTATAGAGAACAAGAACTAAAAACTGAGAAAAAAAGAATGAAAACTGAGAAATAGCTATGGCTAAAAATCCATATGGGAGGTTCAGAATTTCTTCCAAATATATTCATTTTAGACTGAAAGATTAATTTTCCAAATACTAAGTACATAACTACATCAGATCAGAAGTTATTATGTATCCATCAATGGAGCCAAAAGTAGTGGCCATCATATAAATTATTAAATATTAAATTTAATAAGTGTATTTATTATTAAATTTATTTAATTTTTGTAACATCTGCTCACATTGCAGAATTTTATGACAAAACATTAACTTGCTCTCAAATAAAAACAAATTGTTTCGAGGAATTGGTTGATTTTGCAAGGCATGAATCATCATCACATCCTATGCCAAGCAGATTGGGCTAGAATGCATGAATAACATTGCTTATTACATTCAAAATATTACATGATACATTCTGGCGTCCTACAAATTTAGAGCAATAATTTTATAAATTTAGAATTTATTTAGCATGACCACTCAAAACGTCTGCATCTTATTTTCTTCCAAGTATTTCTATTAAAGATTATAATTACAATAGTACTTCTCCTATATCGTATAGGCAAGTGTTAGAATCTGGCTTAAAGCTCTCAAGACCTTCAGGGGCCTCTCCACCTGAGATCAGGTGTTTGGGCAATGATCCTTCCTAGTGCTGTAGCCTTGCTCTTCTGCCGCACCCCCTCCCCGAAGTTCAGCAGACTTCCACTCTGCTGCCCTTTAAGCACCAAAGGGACTTTTCTAGATAGATATTGATACAGGTATCGATCTTTCCGGGACATGCAAGGGATGCTGTTGTACTTCCACTCCTCTGCTCCTCTTTAATATTCAATTTTGAGGGGCGGGGGGGGGGAAACCCAGAGGAAAAAACGCAAAAAATACCTCCGGTTTCCCACGGAATAGCAACAACGTGTGCTTGCAGCAACGTCCATTTAATATTTTCTTTTTAGTATCAGACCTTGCCAAAAGACGATTCAGTTCTGCCGCCTCCAGGTGCCCCCAGACACGGGCTTGCACGCTCCCACAAACACACGCACGCTCTCTCTCTCTCACTCACACACACACACACATACCCCAGCGCTCCGCCCCTGAGATCCCCTCCCTCAAAGGCATCAGCAAAGAGAGGAACCCCCCCCCAACACACACACACACACACACACACACACACGACAATTCCCTCTTCCCATTTCTCTCCTTCCTTCCCCTACACCTTCTTTGCTTTTGTCCCACTGCCCGGTCTGCGGATCCCGCCAGGGGTGGAAACGCCATGGAAAGTCGGGCCCAACAACTCCTCCGCCGGCTTGCGCATTTGCTTGCGCGCTTTTCCCAGCCGCACCCCCCGCTACCGTCTGCGCCCTTCTCCTTACCCAGCCAATAGGCGCCAACGCGTCATCGCTGTTCCCGAGGCCGCCCGACAGGCCGGCGATCCTCCGCCGCCGCCGCCGCCGTTGCCGCGATCCTTTACAAGCCTCTTTACCCCACTGGCACCCGACCCACCCACCGCTTCTCGCGGTTCTCCCCGCCCCGTCCTTCCGCCAGCCAATGGGCGCGCCGGGACAGACCACGCCCATTGCCAAACCGCCCACTCCGAGCCAAGCCAAGCGCGTGTTTATTCTCGCGCTAAGACTCGAAACACCGTCCCCCAAAGAGTGCCCGAGTAGCCACCGGCTGCCCCAGTCGACCAATGGAGGATCGACGATACTTGATCGCGGTGCTTTCTTCCTTGTTCGGTAGCCAATAGCAGAACACGCTAGCTAAAACGCCGGGCCCTTCCACGTATGCCTGGTGGGCGGGATCTTGCCAACTTGTCTTTTAACTCTCGCGTATCTGTGAAGGGATAGGCGTACGGAGGGGGGGGGGGGGCGGCGTTGTCTACGGGTTGTTTCTACGATAGCTAAGCCAGTATAGGAGGTGTCTTGTAGGAATGTCGTATTTTTAATCTTGGCACATGATCCATTTGGAGCAGTGCGATTTAAAAAAATCAACGAACTCCAGAATCCCGTTTTTCCCGGCTAGCTACTCCTATGCTTCCCTGCGGGGGGGAAAAGCACAGGCAGAAAAAGTGGCAGCGGCTGACCTCCGCCTCCCCCCCGACCACCGCTCCACGTTCAATTTAATTCTCCAAAGAAAAGGCTAGGAGGGAAATTCGCTTTTGAAGCCCCGTCAGCGCTTATTGCGATACCCCACGATCATAATACATTCATCAAGACCTATGAAGTTAATCCCCATTGGAATTACCTGACAGTTCCTCTCTCTGTAATTTTTGATTGCCGCCTGGGAGGCTAAAGACCAATGCCACGCAGTAGTGGATCTGCCTTTTAGCTACACTAGTACTGATTCTATTAACTGCCCCGAGCGTACAGCACTCCTCCTTCAACAAATATTAAGCAATGTAGGCTGTAAAACCAGGCTGGCAACGTTTTAGATTCTAAAAGTGTATTTACTTATTTTATTTATTTTGTCAAGCATATATAAGATTACATATAAAAGTATAAACATGATTGTGAATACATTAGATGGCTACTAATAAATGGGGACAGTAGGACAGGGACGGTAGGCACCTTGGTGTGCTTATGCATGCCCCTTAAAGACCTCTTAGGAATGGGGTGAGGTCAACAGTGGACAGTTTAAGGTTAAAGTTTTGGGGGTTTGGGGAAGAAACCACAGAGTCAAATAGTGCATTCCAGGCATTGACAACTCTGTTGCTGAAGTCGTATTTTCTGCAATCGAGTTTGGAGCGGTTTACCTTAAGTTTGTATCTATTGTATGCCCTTGTGTTGTTGTGGTTGAAGCTGAAGTAGTCATTGACAGGTAGGACATTGTAGCAGATAATTTTATGTACTACACTTAGGTCAGACCAAAGGTGGTGTACTTCTAAATTGTCTAAGCCCAAAATTTCAAGTCTGGTGGCATAAGGTATTCTGTTGCAAACGGAGGAGTGGAGGACTCTTCTCGTGAAATATCTCTGGACTCTCTCAATTGTATTAATGTCAGATATGCAGTGCGGGTTCCAGACAGATGAGCTGTATTAGAGAATTGGTCTAGCAAATGTTTTGTATGCTCTCGTTAGAAGTACAATATTACCAGAGAAGAAGCTACACAAGATTAGGTTAACCACTCTTAATGCCTTTTTGGCAATGTAGTTACAGTGGGTTCTGGCACTTAGATCATTAGAGATGAGTACTCCAAGGTCCTTGACAGAGTGACGGTCAGCTACAAGGTCATGTCCATCAAGCTTGTATTTTATGTTTTGATTTTTTTTTTTGCAGATGTGTATGATAGAGCATTTGTTGGTTGAGATTTGAAATTGTCACTTGTTTGACCATTCTGACACATAGTTAAGGTCTTTTTGAAGGGTAGCAGCATTGTCAGTGGTGTTGAATAGTTTTACATCATCAGCGAAGAGAATGCAGTTGCTTTTAATATGATCGGAAAGGTCATTTATGTAAAGTATAGAGTGTTGGCCCTAAAACGATCAGTTCACCTGATTGGGATCCATATGCATGCACAGGTGCAAGCTGTGTTTTGAAGTCCTACTGTCCATGGTTAACCATGGTTCCCTCAATGCTGTTTTCTGGATTATCACAATGTATTAAAGCTCAAAGGCTCATTAGACTAAAATATGGCTGGTGGGTTGTGGTTAAAATGTGTTTGCCTTACAGTCACGGTCTTGTCCCACTCTTTCCCAGTGCCCTACTGCAGATCATTGCTCCCCTTCTTTAAAATTCCTGCTTTTCAGTGTACTAATATGGGCATGGACATCTTTGCAAAGAGAAGAAGCTCTCCTCTGAAGATTCGTCAGTAGAGGGTGACAAAAAACCTGAATGGAAATGAGGTTAGTGCATCATTGTGGTTGTCAGGTGTAGAGCTCTACTAGCAAGGGCAATAGGTGAACAGGGCTACACTGGCTGTTGGTCACCCTTTCCTTCAAGAAGTTTGTCACAAAACTGACAGATAATTCTTTTTTAAAAAAACATACTTCCTATTGAAAAAAATTACAATGCTACAAATAATACAAAGTAAAATAAAGAGAATAGAAAAGAAATACGAAGTGCAAAGAAACAGAAAAACTAAGCGAGAAAAAAGAAATAATAGAAAAAAAGATGTAAGGAAGCAACTCCCAATCTTCTTTGCAATAAGTGCAACCGAATTAATTCTTTCCCATTCCAATGCTGTTAAATACACATTTTTTCTCATACACCCCCCCCCATTTGTCCAATCACAAATCTGCAGGATGTAATAAAAATTTTATAATCCACAGTTTTTTCATTTTCCAATATTTCTTTGTCATTTGAGATTTCCTCTTCCACATCATTGACATTTTTAACTTCTTTAAAATCTTCAAGAAGTACATCGGCAAGTGCAGAAATTACTGCTGAGATCTTAGTTATACGTTTCTCTCCCAGTTTTTCCAAGAGTATTTGAAATGTCTTAAGCATCATTCCTTTATTTGTCATCTTGCAAGTTTTGTGATACTTTATTTATTTTATTTATATTCCATCAATTTTTTCCTTATAGATTAAATTATTCACATTCCCATGAAAATGTTTTATTTTATTTAGTCAGTCTTTTAAAGCTTTTAACAAAAGTCCTAATATTCTGAATTCATCTGGGCCCTGAAAATCTTTTTTTCCCTTTTTATTTTATGTTCTTAAATTCTTTAAGCTGAAAGTTTTTTTTTTTCTTATGTCAGGGTAAAGTTTTATTTAGTGGGCAGATATTCAGACTTTTTGTTTGGAAGACCTCTCTTAACTTAATTAAAACGATTATAAATAAATAATTAGAAATCCAAAAGGGATTAGAAAGTGAGGGTAGAATGTAATGTCCTTAAAGTCTCTCCCATGTTTGAGAACTTGATGGATTCCCTCATCTCCTTCCCTCAGACCTGTAGTAGAACCACTATCCTATGGTCTTCTCATAAGGAGCAACTGTCTGGAACACAAATGGGCAATCTCTTATCCTCTCCAGAGTCCCTTGGGAGTTGGGCGGCATAGAAATGCGATAAATTAAATTAAATTAATTAATTAAATTAAATTGTCCAGAGAGCTTCCGTTAGGCTGAGGTTGCTGCCAGTCTGTTGATTATTGCTGCATCATTGTCTGCTCACTGGGAGACATCCAATTCTGCATTTTTCTCACCCAGAAGTCCCAAAATTGTGAAAAATAATTATATCAGTAACTAATAGATGTGCAACCAAATTGAACACGGAACCTTCCATGCTCAGAGATGGTGCAAGTTGTTAACAGGCAGACCAAATGCTATGCTCTTGTTTGTAGGCTTTTTAGAAGAATTTAGCTAGATGAGTGAATGTCTCTGTAGAATCACCAATTTGTTTCAGTCTGAGACTACCTTATTGTTGAGTGGGTCTCCTACTTGTGGCTGTCTGACTGCATAAAAATGTTCATACTGTCAGAAATCCCGATTATAATTCTCAGGGACGACTGTCACCCTGGTCACCACTTCTTTACACTCCTACCATCGGGAAGGAGATATAGAAGTATAGTCAGCCGCACAAACAGGCGGAAGAACAGTTTTTATCTGAGGGCTGTCAGACTCCTGAATGAGAAATAACATCATAACTACGTAGTATGACGGACTGCAGGGCCGGCACAATGTGTAATATGTTCACACAGGTGCAATAGGACTGGGTGTTATGTTAATATGATTTATTGGGTTAGGGATTTTCTGTCTTCACTGTGAGTTGTATTGTGTTGGGGGTATGCACTGAGGGAGCTCAACCAATCTCATTTTTTATTTATTTTTATTTATTTATTTTCAATTTATATACCGCCCTTCTCCCTGAGGACTCAGGGCGGTGCACAGCCAGAATTAAAAACATGAAATACAAATATTAAAAACAATTAAAATCTATATAAATTTGGCCCCAAAATTTAAAAAACCACAACCATTGTACATTGTACATATGTTGTGCACTGACAATAAAGATTTGATTTGATTTGATTTAAAGCACTATTTCAAAGGTGTGAGGAGGCTTTAGTTGTATGCAAATAGGAAGGTTAGGTACTGAGTGGGCAGTGACTGTCAAGCTTGTATAAATGCAGACAGTTGATTTCTGTTTGGTAAAAGTGATGACCTTAGCTGATCTCAAGTGAGCCAAGCAGGATTGACCATGATTAGTACTCCGATGGAAAATGATCAGGACATATCAAGGCTATAGATTAGACCAGTGGTCCTCAACCTTTTGGGCATCAGGGACTGATTCTGAGGAAAAATAATTTTCCATGGACCGGGGCTGGGGGCACAGTTTCACACACATCCTATGCTTGTGCAGATGAAGCTTTGCTTGCTTGTGCAGATTGGTTTCCAATGGGAAACAGAGCCTTGGACTAGATTGAGAAGTAGTCAAGAGCAAATTACTATTATTATTATTATTATTATTATTATTATTATTATTATTATTAAATTTATTTATTTATTTATTATTTAATTAATTAATTTTTATAC